GACACCTGAAAAATGTCCATCCAAAGCTGAAACTGCATACGCTGAACTTGCATTACAAGTCGATATGCTCACAACGATATTGCAACCTTTGCAAAGTCTAGCTGTCTTATTTGAATCACCCCCAATTATTGATAAAATGAACCTCATGAAGTACAGTGTACTGATGGACTCCATTTCGACCGAAGTACACACTCGAGTACGCTGTTCAGGCAATGCAGTGGTTTTTAATGAGTCAGACAATTTACCATTACAAACTGTTCAGAAAGCGCTTCTTACTGCATGCGGTATGCAATGTTGTTGGTCCAGCTACATCAGACTACGCAAAAATGTAATGCGTTTCACTTGTCCCACACTTTTCCAGTTTCGAAATGAACTTATCGCTAAACAATTTATTCTAAAGCACAATCTCATTACGCTTAATACGGCTTTCAAATGTTTTAAAATTATAGAGGACAAAACCCCTCTATAACGAGAGACAAGGAGGAGAACGTCTGAGGTAATCCAGAATACCAAACAGCCATTTGGCGCCCCGCATCCAGTTAATATTATTCCACTTAGTGGCCAACACAAATGTGAGAATAATACTCCGCTTGCGGCAAATAGGGGCGACGCAGTGAATGATAAAGAGATTTTGTAACTAACAAGGAATCACATGAATATGCGGGCTACTCTATTGCATTAGGTGCAATGTTGGGTAGAACACCTAATTCTCGCATTTCGGAGCTAAGATTCACCTCAGATGCAAAAGTGGTTACTGGAGGACCTCCACTATGCCGCAGTTTTACGGCTAAGCATGATAAACCCACCAAGCCCAAAACGACTACAACCCAAAAAACTAGTGATGTGCATGGTGCTTCCTCGTGTATAATCAGTTTTAGTAGTCATCTAGGGTATCCGATAGCTGTTTCTTGCATGTGTGATGACAACAATGGGGATCAGAGAATAACAACTGCATTACCTGCTAAATCCCAGTTGCATTTAAAACCGCTACCTCACGCCTCGAACTGTCATGTCTCACCTAAAGTCTGCTCTGGCCAGTGTCCAAACTCATCACGAATATTGATGGACCCGGCCAAATTGATGGATAGTATAAGGACGGTTGATCTAGATTTATTACAAGCGTCATTGGGCGACTCTGCAACGTCATTTTGGTTGGATAGACATACATCCTTTGATCATAAAGTTATGGAAGAGCTGCCGCCATCTTGGCAGCTTACACACGATGTAATTGGGTACCATGACTTTCCGATTGCATCAATGAACCAGCTGGATTTTGCTGATGGTGGTGTATGGATTGACACCCGTGTGCCTCCACAGCGTATAATGAAGCCTTGTATATCGAGCGCAAGAAAGCGGATTTTACCCGTAGATGGAAATGACAGCCACCCACCGACTCCTATCAATACGTTACGTAATCAAAGGCCTATTAGTGACATGATGCAGAGGACACAAGCAAACTCTCCAGCTCCCACACGCTATTACCACCTTTATGGATTCTTTTGCTCGAACCATTTTCTATAGGGTCATACTCAGTCTCAGCGCTCTCCGCTGTGGCCACCTCCAAATCATTTTCCAATACATTTTCCACGCGCACTTTCCAACACTTTCTAACCACAGTCCAGGCACACGGCTTGAAATCCCAGTTTTTATAACACACCCTAAACAATCTTCCTCATATCTCACATCTATCTCAGTATTTTGAAAACATTCGTTCTCTTCACTCTAAGATCCACACACTACGCTCGTTAGTTTTGGTGAATAATCCTGACATAATATTTATAACTGAATCTTGGTGGCATGATGGCATGTCTGACAATCAGTTTACTATTTTCGGATATAACAAGTTTATGATTAATCGGCCTTGTCGTCAAGGTGGTAGCTGTGTAATATACCTAAAAGATCGCTCGCAGCAGCACCCTTCGAGAACCTATTGCTGAACAATGTTCAGGACTCACTCTGGCATAGGGTTTCTGTTAATCAGCAGCAGCTGTTTATGAGATGAATATACAGCGCGCCAAACTGCGGCCAAGAAGACCTAGAACTTTTGACGCTTGCATTTGAATGCGCCGCTAGCCTACCATTTTAACATAAGATTATTGGAGGTGATTTCAATCTGACTTCGATTTCATGGCCCATGGGAACCGCTCGTTTGAAATGCCAACATATCTCCTGTATCCAAATGAATGGATGGCAGCAACGCATATCCCAACCTACCAAAGGTGAGAGTACTTTGCATCTCATTTTTCATTGGGCATACTTGCAAGCAGCGTTAACGTTCTTGATGAATTTCCGGAGAGCGATCATCACGTCATCGAATGCCACCCAAGAATATGCATGGGTGATGTACGGAACACAATGCATTATCGTCTGTTCAGTTCTGTCAATTGAGACTCTTTCAAGGACCTGGTTCATTCGATGAATTGAGATAACTTCTTTCTCTCTTCATGTCCTCACCATGCGACGAACCTGTTTTATGGTATACATGGCTTCTGCATCAATTCAGCAGTACCATTAAATGTGCTTACCAAATTAAACATAAATCCGACCGCAAGGCATCTAAGGTAGCACGAAAGCTTCATAAGATTTGGCAGAAATTCAAGTTAACTGCTGACTGCGCTATTATTACAGCAGTGCAAGCTCGTCGAAGTACGGTGGCATCAAAATGACAAAACTCTCATTCTAGAAGAGTATAAATCTCTGAACGGCCCCCGCAAAACATCTAAGCTAGGCAAACTATTCTGTGCCCTGGGTTCGCGTTGCAGAGACAATTTCAATTCTATCGCCACGCCTGATGGAACATAATACGACGCCCCAGGTTTTATCTGCGAAGCTTTCAGTGCTTATTTTGCCGAATCAATGCTCAATAAATCATCAGACACACCAACACTTATCATGCCGCACAATAATGTAAGTCTGTGTACAGTGGGATCCACTATAGCGAAAATCACTGGTCAAGTCTCTCGCTTATGCTCCTCAACATGCGTAGACCCTGATGGGACCCCTTGTTTAATAAAACGCAGCGGTAGTGACTTCCTTCTGCTTTTGCTCAGCATGTTTACACACTCTTCTAACAACTGAGTATACTCTACTCAATAAAATCGTCTGTCGTTATCCCGCGACACGAAAATGGCGCTGCCCACGAGTTTGACAAATTTCCTCCCATCAATCACACACCCAACTTATCTAAAATAATGGAAAGGTTAGTGAAAGATGAACTATTTATATTCTGGGATAAAGCTAACATCATTAGCAATTCACAACACGGTTTCACGTAAGGTCGATCCTGCCCAACATGTCAGACAGACTTTTTAAACCACACCACAGTTGCCATTGACAACGGAAACAGTGTTGTAATCCTGTTCCTGGATATGCAAAAGGCCTTTGATAGAATGCCTTACAGAAGTTTACGAAACAAACGGAAGGCTATAGGCATTGGAGAACCGATGTTCTCTTGGCGATCTTCATATATAATTGGTGCAAAGCAGGTGGTGCGCATCGGGGACCATTTCTCTAAATCGAAAGCGATCACAAGTGGAGTGATTCAAGGAAGTGTCCTTGGTCCTGTTCTTTATCTAATCGATATTATCAATATATTTCAGCAAATAAAAATGGTGTTACATTTATCTTTGCTGATGACATTAAAGCTGTCTACTCACAACCGGGTGCAAATACCCAGGAAGCAGTACGTCTCGTTCAGGACGGTCTATCTGCTCTTGCTTCCTGGTGCCAACCGTGGCAGATGTCATTTGCCGTGGACAAGCGTAATATCTTCCATACAAATGCCAAGTAGCGCCAGACAGTTTATTACTACAAGGCGCATTTATCTCGCAATGCAGGACAGTTCGCGAATTGGGCGTGCGATATTCAGTCACGTTTAACTTCTCTGAACATTGTGACTCTCAACTTTCGAAAGCCATGAAGACCATCGGTTATATCTGTCATCGTTTTTGCCTCACGGAATCTCGCATATCGCTTCACAGAACATATATATTGCCATGTATGGAATACTGTTCAGTGGTCCAGTCTACTCTGCGAAAGTCTAGCCAGCACGCTGTTGGGAGGGTCCAGGACGCTTCACGAAAATGCTGAGTGGATATTCCGCTAATTGGACATACAGAGAGCGATGTGATAAACTCGTATTTGACCCAGTTTGGCTTCGGATAATTAAAGTGAACCTATGTTACTTTAAACAGAATCATAATCTGTCAGATTCGCAGTCTGGATAACGGAGTTCACATATCTATGAACAGCAGATATCCAATACGTAACAAAGAGGTAAATGTCATGATTCCAAATTTTACTAAGAGAATACGAGAACTTTGCTTTCTAATCCACTACTCAAAGATTTAGAAAAAAAACTTCCAAGTGATATCGGAACATGCTATACACTTTGTAATTTTAAGCTTGCGATTGGCAAACCTTTAACCGTCCAAAACTTGATTAATATATTTGGGACATTACACTCCCTGGATAATGCATTCGAAAACAGTATTGATTGTGCCTGAATAAATTTTCGAAACACATCCACAAAAGATTTCGGACAACGGTCCCTTTCATATCATTTTTGCTCGGCCCAAACAGCTGTCAGGTGATTTTGAAGAATGCTGTCTCAATGTCAGGAAAAAATAGCGTAGCAATTCTGACGACTCTGTTTACCTAAGTTATAATTGCGCACATGTTTATTTCTGAAAAGGTATTTATGCAAATGTTTTGGAAAGTTCGTACCATTTTTTATCTGTTCCGTTTAGAGAACAGCTTCTCGCAACCTCGAGGAATATACAGTCTATTTATTTAGTTAATTGTTTCGCTGTCTACACCTTCTGGGAAATATTGACAATGAGACTTTTGCAGTACGCAGCCCTCCACTTCAGCGTTATGTGAACGAGGTGCATATCCCGGCAACCTGAGATTTCGCTTCTCATTTTCTTCAAAGCATTGATCATGTAGTTAATGTAAAGTCAATAAAATGAAAACAGTGATGATTTTCATTTCTTTATTTGCTATTGTGCGATTAATGATAAAAACTTGGAAATCGTATGATGACCAGTTTCTGCCTTTGTTCGTTCCTTGTGAATTCTAAAAAAGAAGTAAACATGGTTATATGGTATTTTGAATTTACTCGTTAGACAAAAATAATAAATACCGTTAATGAATACCAGAACACGCACCCACACTGTAGATTGCAAGACAATGAAATGACTGCTGTCCACGTCATATGCCTTGATGGGTAAATGCAACTCCAATCTTACCACACTCCTGACGGCCCAGAGTAAACGTATGCGTTTCACCCAGTTGGTTTTAACACGAATTACTGCGAAACCTTTGTTTCCGAAGACCACTTGAGGACGACCGTCCAAATATATAATTTTGCGTATTCTAGAAGACGATGCATCATCAAAGCCTGTATTAAAAGGTAGGAGTAGGCGGATTCGAGTGTATAAGCATACCTTCATCCCTTTTAGACAGTCAGACAGCCATCACATGATCGGAAAAGCACCCTATGACCGTTGCATATTTTCGGGAATCGTCAGCTTTTCGTACTCCACCTGACTGCTGGGTTGCTGGAACCCACGACTCGATTGTTAACAATCTGTGGTTAATACATCTAAACCATGTGAGACGTCAACGAGGGACTTGACTTGGTTACTAAGCGTCATATGACGTCATCCACTACTTACGTCTATTATCGCCCGTTAGCCAGCTCAACCTAGTTATTTGAGGACAGTGATAGCGATCAGATATGCTGAATGTGTTATGGAATAGCTTTTTAAACTCTCTGCAGTTAAACGATCAAAATTTTGCGCAGTAGACACTAAATAAATTAACCACTTGATTTCACGCAAAAGCCAGTCTCTGGAAACCCCATAATTGATCACTCAACCAAGAGTAGCTCTTAATGTCTCAACAGACCAGAATCCTTGAGGTCACATGAAGCGCGAAACGACGAAGTGTGGTCGGTCGTCCGTCATATGAATAGATATACCGTTGAAAGTGAATGAAGCGTTAAGCATAAACGAAGTAGGGTAAGTTCCCATTACCCTCAAAGCAAGGCGGATGTTTACACTATCATTGTGAACTAAAATTTGGAAAATTCTATTTTTCAGGTCCTTATCGTAACTCCATGCGGAATTTTCATTATAATTTGGGGCAAAAGTGTAATGGTTTCATTCCAAAACTAGTCTAGCGGCAGAAAAGGTTTTACTCGATTTCGGCTTGACGAGGCTAATATTTCTTATCCTCCTTAGCACAACAACATCGTCAATGCATTTTCCTTATATCGAATATTCCATGCATGTTCCTCGACGGATTGGTTCCGGAAAGGTATTCGTATAGTGCTGTAGACCAAAGAGGATAAATTTTGTCTTCTAGACAGTTACGTAATACTGCAGCCTTGGCTGATTCGATAACCGTCCACTAAACGCTTAGCACATAAGGGGTGCGCAACAGTTTCGGCCAGAATATCTGAGGGCCGAAATTCCATAATATGACGAGACAGACTAAGAATCATTTAGGTGACCGATTCGTTCATTTATTGTGCATTAAGCCGGAAAGTGCATAGAATTGCGTTTGTCGCCCATTCCATTAAACTGACTTTGGAAAGTTTCTGACATTGTACATTAGAAGCTCATTACATAAATTAATTGCAATACATTACCAAAGGAAGGTGGATATACACAGCGAAAGTTCGTACATACTGTGAACCGGAATTCGCACAAAAAATCTACTTGATATATTTAGATTAAATATGATCAGGTCCAGAGCACCTGTAACGTTCCCATCTACTTGTTATCCAATACGAATCACGGTTTACCTTGTGGATGCGTGTCGCATTGCAATCCAAAGAACAGCGACTCTATTTATTTGTGGGTAGTATGGGAATTTATTTTGTTTTAGAGAAGATGCTTCGCAGTCAGACCCATCCAGCTAGCCATCACACAACCAGGAAAGTGATAGACGGCTGTTTCGTTCTGTTGAGACTTGTCAGTCCGCCTGCATCACCAAAGGCATATTGGCATAATTTTCTGATTCGTAACAATTGAACCATGGGTAAGAATCCGGCAGGATTCGGGGGGGGGGGTGGGGGCTGCGCGCTTTTCACGTGTCCTAATAGGACGAAATGGCCATCTAGCATTTTCCCGCTTGTGTGATAGCTGTCTAGCTGCGACGAATCTTCTGCTTTGATTAAGCGACGAAATAGCGTAATGTAGAACAGTAATTGCCCTACGATCTGCGCCAATCGAACATTTCTTACGGTAGTTATAACTGATGAAAATTTTGAAGCAGTGTGTTGCCACTGATATTTGCTCATATTTTAGAAAACATATTACTCTCTGCAAATGATAGATACCGGTTATTGCTCGTAATAAATATTGTAGTTTACGGTCACGCTGATCCTTGTTTTAGCGGGAACTTCTGTCTCGATCATCTGCGTTACTCCAATTCATCGAAACACTAACATGGCCGAGTTGGAGTAATTACCGGAGTCTCAATTGCGTCTGAAGTACATGAACGAATGTATAGATTGAAGAACGTGGCTGTTTTTAACTTTCCCGATAGACTTAATTTGGGTAAAGTTAAAACCGCAGTACTGATGGCCCGCAAAATATCCGCGATTGAGTGCAACTCTCCTCGTCTGAAGAAGAAATCGCTTAAAAGCTGCTGCCCGATCTAGTTTAAATTTTCAACTAAGGAATCCGCGAACCGATTGTTGCTTAATCAACTCACTAAAGCCCAGCGGATGCAATTCAAAGACCTATTGATTAAACTCCTACTAACTACTAGCTCCTCAACCTTGACGCATGTGAACCCATTGAATTGAATTCACCAATCATAAATGATGGAGTATCTGCTAACCATTGGGAAGAGCTGACTATCAAGGGCCCTGTAGCCGTCTCGCAAGCTGAACTCCACGCCAAAAGGACTCCTATGGGTAGTCAATCCAATAATGTAGAAAACATACACCCACTCACCGTATCCAACAAAATATTTAAGCCTGTGATGAACATGGTAGAAACTAACAAATCAATCAAAATACATGACCCAAACAATATATAAAGTGACATCCTGCGCCGACAAAATCCAGAAACAAATGTCTTTTGGATACCCCTCGCCATAATTCTCTTCCAGACCACAAAAACCAGCTCAGTAATGAGAAAATAAACTGTCACAAAGTCAATGCCACCTCCCATCCCGTCTCATATGTGTGCAGCCCTTCCCAACACTCAACAGTATGACCATTTTAGTACAGGAGGGAATGGAGCCGCAGCCATTCCCACTGCTTACATACCCGGCAGAAGCCAACTACCTGTTCCTACTGTTCCTGCAATTTTTGCAGATGACTCGGCTAGCCAATTGCTACGCCAATCGCAAATTGGACTTGTTTCCTTAACCATCTCCATGTCCAGAGCAGTATCGGTCATTACGAATGAGATATTACCACATTACCAAGCCTGTTAAGGGTAGACCGGACCACAGTACTCCAACTCAAATGTCCTGTGTCCATACAACCTGACTACAGTAACGCGTATAACAACGAACCGCAACACAATGACCACACACAACAGTTCATTTTCTATACTTCTACTTATTGCCACATATATTAACAACAAATTCTACTTCTTAGGAATGTTTGTGCATATCAACGACCCACAAGCAAGTCTCGTTACTGAAGCGTGGTGCTCGCTCGATACATTAGACCCCAAGTTAATGATTCCTAATTATCAGCTCTTCCGAAATATCGCGGAAATGGCAAAACTGGATACGTGATGTAACTACACCGTACAGTTGCAGAAGAACTTTTTGATCATACATAGCTAACAAATTTTTGTGAATCACTTCGGTTCTCCGTCTCAGGAACCTGTTCTCACATTTGACTCGGATGTGTTTATAACCCACCAAGTGCGCCAAACGTGAGTGTTACCATCAGCACTTTAGCTTTCGAATTTGCTGACGAGATGTCCCACAAACAGAACATAATTGCTGGTGATTTTAACCTACCAAAGATTAAGTGGTCCTCTCAACCATCCTCGTTTACACATCCAGCTTGTCTTTCCACTCTCAGAATTGGTGGGTGGATACAGTGAGTTACAGAGCGAACAATATAGGCCAGTATACTCGACCTTATAGTCAATTTGGGGGTTACAAGTGTAAAACAGAGGTATTAGACAAACTCTCTGGTAGTGACCACAACATGGTACGATTCCCTTTCTGCGTCGAGATGGCCAACAAACACGCCTTTATTCCGCAATATGTGATTGGAAGCAAATCCAACAATTTATCCGATCATCCCATTGTGACGCATTCTTCCTCTCTAACAATGTGTGTGCACTGCCGTGGATTATTTCTACCATCGGGGCTATCAGGCCATTGTTATCCTTACTTCCCAAGACGAGGGATCACACGTTACCAGAATGACGCAATCGTGGTTCAAGCAGCCGGAAACACAGAAGATAAGTGCTGGATACAGAAAGAGGGGAACTTGCAGCCTGTTTTTACCTTTGTACATCTTGACACTTAACGAAGAGGACAAATGAAGAACAAATGGCACTACGAACGACATGTAAAATGAAAGAACGTTTTAAAATCCTGCTAAAACTAATTATTATCACTAATTATCACTAATTACCACTCCCCCTTGATTGATGGACTAGTTAATGCAGACGGATTGTCCCTTCATGATCCAGCTGACATCTACGAAGCGTTCAGCTCATCTTTCGCTATCTACATGAACCTGGAGACCACCCCGTTAAATGCATGCATTAGGGTGCTAAAAATCAACACCCTGTGAAACATTGACATTTCTATCATTGCTATCAAACATCTGATGAATTAATGAAAACTCAATGTTTTCAAGCGAACATATGTTTTCAATAATTCTTCTTCAGGCTTGTACAATTATATGCAAAAAATAACCAAAATATAGACACAGCACATGGACTGGTAAAGCACTCAGTTCACAGTCATTGGTCACTATCAGTCACTGCCCCCTAGAACACAGTTGTAGCAAGTGCACAATTCCTTGGTATGGACGGAGTAGTTCGTCTGGGCCAAGTCAAGCACAGCGTGTGAGTGAATCT